TTTTGGATGTGCTTAATAAAAGAAAGCTCGTTGGTATAGATTATTCCCAAATCCTTAACTTCAGCAGATCTAATTAAAGTCTCCTGACCAATGGTATAATCAAAATTTATCAAATTCTTTTTTCGAGAAATGGACATAACACAACATTTGCTCACATTAAAACTTAACTTATTTTCTATACTCCAATTAAATACATTAATCATATCCTTTTGTAACAACACACACTCCCTAACAGTTTGAATCTTTCTAAATATCTTAAAGTCATCTGCAAACAATAAAAATTTAGAGTATGAGATAACTTTAGAAATATCATTAATAAACATAATAAATAAAATTGGGCCTAAATTAGAGCCTTGTGGAACCCCTGAGTTCGCATAGAACTTCCCTGAAGTGTTTCCATTAAATTTCACCAAAAATTTTCTATTTTGCAGATAGCTACTCAAAAGTTTTAATAAATTAGCGGATAAACCAAAATTGTGCAATTTTTCTAGTAATATTGTGTGATTAACCTTATCAAAAGCTTTTTTAAAGTCCGTGTAAATGACATCTAACTGTGATTTATGGTCAAATACATTAGTTACCGATTCCGTGAACAATAATAAATTTATATCGATCGATCTGCCTGAAACAAATCCATGTTGTTGGTCTATGACTTTGTTTTTAATGTGATTATATAAATATGAATGTAGAACCTGCTCAAAAATCTTAGAAGGAGCACACAAAATTGCTACACCTCTGTAATTTTCTATGTCACTCTTACTGCCCGATTTGTGAATTGGAGTGTAAGTTGACAGTTTCCACATTTCTGGAAAAGATGCAGACCGTAAAATTAAGTTAAATATATGAATTAACGGTATTTTTAAATACTCATTACAACCTTTTATAATATATGGGGGTATGGCATCATGTTCAACAGCTTTTTTCGGTTTTAATTTTTTTAAAGCCATTTTATAATCGTTCTCATCTATGTTAGGAATATTTAATATAGTAGTGTTTACTAAATTCAATAAATCAATATTATAATTTGCCTTTTCAGCGCAGTGAGTGGCTGCAAAATATTCTGCAAACTTATTAGCTACTTCTCCCTCAGGTATATCGTTACCATCCCATTTAAATTTATCTAATTGGTTACTATTGCCCTTTTTTTTATTAACAAAAGTCCAGAAATTATTTATATTTGAATCTATACTTTGTTCGATTTGCTGTAAGTATTTCTTATGTTCGACGTTTATTAACGATTTTACTTTTCTTCTCATCTCAATATATTTATCGCTGTAATAAGTAGAAATTCCCTTTAATTTTCTATAATTATTTTTTTCTTTAATTAATTGCTTTATTTCCCGTGTAAACCACCTAGGATATTTGTTAAAATTATTATAAACCTTGTATTTAGGTACAGTAAAATCAAACACATTATAAATTTTTTTATAAAAGATATCCAATGCGATATTTACATCTGAATTTTCGATAACGTCACTCCAATCCATGTCTCTCATCATTACACTCATTAAATCAAAGTTGGCTTTCTTAAAATTATATTTATTTTCAGTTAATTTATCAGTGTCATTATACCTTGTTTTATTAAACGAAATGTCTGTTGCCAGAGATGGGTGATACATATCCTCGGATACTAGAGGTAACTGTTCCCGGTATACGTTACAATTATTTAAGTTTTCAGTGGCACCTATTATTAAATCTAATGTCTTGTTCTGAAAATTTTTTATACAATTAAATAGAGAAAATGAATTAAAACTTAAAAAATGCATTAAAGTATTTAGTTTGGGACTAATATTATTCAACATTGCAATATTTGTACCCTGGATTTCTGGAATATTAAAATCACCAAAAATGAATGTATTGTTAATATCTTTTACATATTCTTGTAAATATTCAAAGCATTTGATATAATAGTTTAAATTAAGATCAGGAGGTATATATACTCCCATAATAATACATTTAAATTTATTATTTATTTTTACTTCAACAACATTATGTTTTCGGTCTGCGAAAAGTATTGATTTAGATGATGATTTCGGGATTTTGGTTATAAATTCGGAATTTTGATGATGATTAGGGGATTTTGATGATGATTTCGGGGGTGATTTCAAACTTTCGGAGGTTATTTCGGGATTTTCGTGATGAATTCGGAGATTTTGAGTGAAAACGTAACACCTCGGCGACACCGATCATTACCAAAATCACGAAGAAAATGAGAGAAATAATAAGAAGTATATCCTTGAAAAGTAGGTAAAGTAGCCACTACTACACTTACCGTTGATCAAAAGGCACGAGAGGATATGATGAGAAATGTATCTCCGTGTGTCTTATATTATTATTAGGTTGCTTTGTGCTCTCGGTGAACTGAACTTGCATAATTTTAATGTGCCAAAATAATGGGCTGTATTAAAGTCGCCTGTGAACAAGTACAGGGTGAGCGAAACTCGATGTCTCGGCTCCATTATGGGACAAGGGAAAAAGATAGGAAAAAGTTGAAAAGAGGTTCTTAAATGGGATAGAGTAAGGTCCGTTTTAAGCCCAATTTGCATATTTGTCCATATTTGGAAACTGAGGTAATGACGTTATCGATTTTTTTTTTCGGAAACATACCTATATTTTTACAAATTTAAAAAGAGCTAATTTTTCTGAACACATTTTATGAAATAAAAAATTTGATATCTCCTTCACTTTAAAAATTATAAGCAAATTTGTAAAAAAAGTATAATCAAAAATTCAGAATAGTCACAATTTAAACAAGTCGCCTTTGGAAACAAATAGCAAAGACGTATCTGTCAAATTAAATTAATGGTTGACAAATATTGTTATGTTATTATTTGGCTTTGAAAAATGTTCACGCACAATGAAAAAGTCGACATGTTATTAGTTTATGGGGAATCTCAAAAGAACCCAAGAAGAGCAGTTCAGTTATACGCCCAGAGATACCCCGAACTTGTTATTCCAAGCTTAAAAATATTTGCAAGATTGGAACGCAATTTACGTTCAAATAACAAGTCATTTTCTTCTCGAATGGGAAAAAAAATTGCTAAAAGAGTCAATTCTGATAATACTGTTGCCACTGTTTTGCAGTATTTTGAAACCCATCCAAGAAATTCGATTCGGCAAGCCTGTCGTGAGTTGAATTTAAAATTTTGAAGGAAAATGGTTACCACGATTATAAACTTCACAACTTAGAATACTTATCAGATCAACATCAACAACGAAGATTGAATTATATTGCCCAAGTGATGGAAACGTTAGAGTATGAAAATCGATTTTTTCAGCATGTTTTATGGACGGACGAAAGCCGTTTTGTTAGTAATGGTAAGCCCAATAAAAAAAATGAACATTACTGGGCTACTGAGAATCCACATTTTGTCAATCCGATTGAAAACCAAGGGCATTTCGGAATTAACGCTTGGTGTGGTATTATTAATGGGCATTTGATTGGTCCATATTTTTACGAAGGAATTTTATGTAGTGAGCGATACTTGCAATTTCTTCAAGAACAATTGCCTGTGCTACTCGAAAATTTGCCATTACAGCTTCGAGCAAATATGTGTTTCCAGCATGATGGAGCATAAAGCAAGAATTGTCCAACGATATTTGAATGAAACTTATGGAGAACATTGGATAGGTATAAATGGACCGATACAGTGGGCGCCTAAATCACCGGACTTGACCCCACTAGATTTCTTTTTGTGGGGAATTTTGAAAAATAAAGTTTACAGAACACCATCAGTTAACATGGAACATTTAAAAGACAAAATCAGAATGCTTGCGATGAATTATCTAGAGAAATGTTACGTAAGGCTTCGGTAAGAGAAGTAAGACGGAGATTGGATAAGTGTTTAGAAGTAGGAGGTGGTCACATTGAAAATTTGTTTTAGTGATTGACTATGCATACAAGCTTTGTTTCTCCCTCTTGTAAGTAATATATTATTTGTTTCTTTTTTACAAATTTGCTTATAATTTTTAAAGTGAAGGAGATATCAAATTTTTTTCTTTATAAAATTTGTTCAGAAAAATTAGCTCTTTTTAAATTTTTAAAAATATAGGTATGTTTCTGAAAAAAAAAAATCGATGACGTCATTACCTCAGTTTCCAAATATGGACAAATATGCAAATTGGGGTTAAAACGGACCTTACTCTATCCCATTTAAGAACCTCTTTTCAACTTTTTCCTATCTTTTTCCCTTGTCCCATAATGGAGCTGAGACATCGAGTTTCGCTCACCCTGTACAATAATAACACCAATAAACTCGTCTGATCGCAAACTGCCGATCTGTAATTCGACACATAATTTCGCATGTGCAGATTTGGTGTAATATTTTAACATTAATTTGATTTCATTTGTGTCAAAATTGGTTTAGAAAATTTTACATGGATCCAGGCTGCACTGATTAGGTTGTTATTTTATTTTTCTACTTTATGTATTTTGTTGCAATGACTCCATGCCGCACAGACTAATCTTTTCATTAATGTAGATATAATTAAGATGCTCTAAAAAAATAATGTTTAAAATATCTATTTGTACATTATTTTGCTGAAATCCTTTTCCAAGCGTGTTTAATACTTTATTTATATGACCTTAATTATTTGTCTACATGCGAGTTTAGTGGTGGGATTAAAGTAAGATTATTTATTTTTTAAATATTTTTCTTATCTCTAGACAACTTAAATAACACCCAAAATAATTTTTCAAAAATAAATAATTGGTAACCTTGTAATATTTTAAATGCCAATTTTAAACACCACTTATTTTTCTGTCTACTTTAAATTTACAGGTACCATTATTGGAATTGTTTTTGATCTAAAATTATATTCAGATAAAAATTAAATTGTAAAAATCCGATTATATAATGTTAAATACTTTTATAGTCATGAATGTTTAATTAAAAAATAATTTAAATACAAATTATTTTACAGAATGTCTCTTAAACGTGTTTTTTTGACGTTATGTAAATTTTGATACGAACTACTTACATTTTTATATTTTTCGCTAGGCTCCTGAACCTGTAGAGCCCTGGACAAATGTAAAAGATGCTACCAAAGAAGGACAACCCTGTTACCAAAGAAACGATTTTACCCATGTATTAGAAGGTTCAGAAAGTGACTGTCTACATTTAAATGTTTATACAAAAATAGTAAGTATATTCTATGCAAATTTTTCATAGGTAAGTGTAGTTCGAACTGGTTAAATATTAACTATAAATTGAGGACGCCTGAGGACGCCTATCGCCTATTAACAGGTTAAGTGCCACTATAGTGATAATTTTAACGTCCCCACATGCTGATTACTTTTTATTATCAAATAGAATGTCTATATACCTCTGCAACTTCAAATGAAACTCTCGCCATGTGGCGCGCACCGCGCGGGTGGTTGTTTCTTGTCAGTATCAGAGACAACAGAGACGTGTAACTTAATAGGAAAATATGTTCGGTGGTCCATTTAAATTACATATATGACCCTCTTTTTCTTTTACATTGATCTTTACATATGTCTATCTCTCTCCAATAAAACTAACACCATTTTCAGAGGGCGCTGGTGTTGCTGGTTTTTTGACGTAGAAATATCAATTAAAAGTATTAAAACTGACAACTGACAATGTTATGAATGTTGTTATGAACATATGCATTTTATTAAAATTAATTTAATTTGGGCCCCGTATATTTCTTTTAGTCTGATTTTGTTGTTTAATTAATTTTCTTTGGGGGGGAATGTTTATTTTTGCATATTATTTTTTGCATGAAGCAATTTCTGGAACCAAACTCGCGTTTCTGTACACATTTCTTTCTAGAGGTAAGTAATTTCCAATTTATTAAGAAAACCACTGTATAATGTATGTGTTTAATAATATATTACACAATGACTATAATTATTTTAGGTGAATTGGAACAGAGATCCATTGTTACAGCTACTTGTGTTCATTAAGTAGGTAGATGAATGTCTGGACAGCTTTAATGGCAGCACAAAGTTCCTATCTACCAGAAAAGTAAAATGTATGCTGAGTAAAAAATCTGCACATGTAGTATTGGCAAAGAACTTTTGAAATGATTAGAGATTAGTTATTTCTTACATACACCTACCTCTAACAGCCACTCTAAAGGAAGAAAAAAAAATTGAATGACAAAAGGGCAGAATTTTAAATCAGGATGCATTGGAAAATAAATTTCGGTACATCAGGGGGTCAATTTTCGACTTTTATTCCCATGGGAAAATAAAATTTTTCCATGGGAATTCAGTTTTCGTATTCTCGGCATAAGCGGTGGAATATTTTCCAATGAGAAGTATGGGAAAATATTCCCCTGCTTACGAGCATTGGAAATTGTGTTTTCCAATGGGAATTGTACTAGAGTTTGCGCATTAAAGTCGAAAATTTGATGAAAGACCACGCGAAAGACTAAGACATAACCAAAGATTATTGGATATCTTGGATTTTTGGTAAAATTAGAGTTAAAATATTTTTTTGGTGTATTTATAAATTGATATTATTTTATGTGGGTATATTATTGTTACCTCTCTTTCACTAAGAAACTGATTTTCTTAAATTAGTTAGAAATTGTGGGAGCTGCTAAGGGACTGGCAAATAGGTAACACAAATTGAGAAATTTGTAGTAAATTTAATAAGACCTTTTCGAAAATTTTATTATTTCCGTTAACGAAAGAATTTCTTAGTTTCTCGAAACTTTCGTTGCTCTTCTATACAAAAGCTACTTTTTCTTTTTTCAATATGTGAAAAGAAAAACTAAAAATAACTCGATAAGTTTTAATTATACATAATCGAATATTGTCCTCGGTCATGCTAGCGATTGCTCGGCACGGCATCTGCTCCAGCGCAGAGGCTCGGCAGGTAATCGGTTACCCAAAAACCACAACAAATACAAATAATACCAACAGTAAATTTTAAAATATCTTTAATGTTATTGGTTATTTTGAAATATTCGTGAACTTAATATCAGACATACGTGAAACTATTATTTCCATGGGAATGTCTATTCCGACAAGTTCGAGAATTGCATAACCTATTACCATGGGAATATAAGTAGTGGAATCTTTTCCCATGGGAAAATTTTCCAATGAACTCGAGAGTCGAGCCCCAGGTCGGTTTTGGATTTTATAGAGAGATCAATCTCAAGAAAAGTTAATTTATCCTGCAGAACAACCAGTAGTTTAAGTAGGATTTGCTATAACTTTATTAGACATTTTCTTTGATAATAAATTGTAATATAGGTACCAATTATTGTTTCAAATGAAATTGAAAAAGAGTTAAATATGAAATTAGATTTTTCATGAGTAAAATGTTATATTCATTCGAACATTGTAAGGTAATCTATAATTAAGGGAATATGGAAAATAGCTATACCCTGGTGGTGTAAGAGAAAGGTAAGGGGCAATGACAAAAAAATTACAAAAATGTATTTATCTTTAAATAGTGTTTATTATTAATAATATTATTTGCTATGTTTGAAAAGTTCCTCCTGCTTCCGAACAGATCGAATAGATTAGACTACTAGTTGGAGAAGGTCCACCTAGTAACCAAATTAGGAGACTAGGAAAACTTTTACATGACTGGGGACACAACAGAAATGCACACACACACAAGATACACAAACAAACGAAATAACAGGGGTAAGCCTTCAGCAACGTCCTGTTTAAATGATGATAGTATGTCATCCTTCATTCCCTTTTAGAAGGCATGGCATATAAATATATTGATCTTGATTACTATAAGAGGAGTTAGCAGGGGTCTAGCAGGTTTCGATCCAGTTTACAGGATGGGAACTTACTTGACTCGGGCCTTATACATTTGTGTTGAGTGTATGTGTGTTTCGTTTCCATGGTTTCTATTAAAATAAACAGTCGTAACATATTCATACCTTTTTGCCAGACTAACATAAGTGACATTTGTTCAAATGGCACTTATGATAGTCTGGCAAAAAGGTATCGATACTATACTTTATAAAATATTTGTTACATTAGTTTTTAAATATATTATGAATATATAACAACTGTTACTTTCTTTGTAATTTGTCACAAAATGATAGGAGGTACTTTCTAAACGAAGCAATTGTAGTTTGTTTTTATGTACCTTACAAAAATATAATTTATAGAAAAAGAGTTTGGTGTATTATTTTTCCAAGTTTAAATATTTACTAATACACGTAGGGTGACTGTTTTCACATCACATACGTCTAAAAGTAATTGCAGTTTTCACAAAAGTTGTTAAAAGCGGAAAACCAGAAAAACCCTAAAAATTTCGAGGATTTTTGCGTTTTTCGACCTGAAACGGCACTGATACGAGGCAGCAAACTTCAAAATTGTGTTCGGCACCCCAAAAAATATATAATTTCGTTGAGAAACCTTTCTTCCGCACTCATGTTACGAAACAGGCACTTTTGAACACAATTTGATCAGACTAAAAATTATTATGGCAGCTTCGCTTTTACTGTCACTGTTACTGTTATTGTAAAAATGTGTTTAATTTATTTTTCTATAACCATATCATTTATCCAAAACGCATCTACAAATTTGTTTTAGAATAAATTATAGACATCCGGTAGCTTAAAAGTCATCCCATAAATGCATTATTTACATTTTACACCTTTAATAACATTTTATTTAAAATTGTATTATATTTTTTAAGACGAGGTAACTTTTTTAGTTGCCTTCTGAAAAGAAAATTCTAAAACCAGTAATGGTCTGGATTCACGGAGGAGGTTTTCTTCATGGCAACAACAGATACTCCTTTTACGGACCCGAATTTTTAATGACCGAAGACATTGTTCTAGTTACACTCAACTACCGCTTAGGCTTCTTAGGTTTCCTCCACCTAAAAGACGATACCTTGGATGTTCCCGGAAATGCAGCGTTAAAAGATCAACGATTAGCGCTCCATTGGGTTCAAAGAAATATTAAATATTTTAATGGTGATCCAAATAATGTCACCTTGTTTGGCGAAAGTGCAGGCAGTGTATGTATTCACTATCATATTGTTTCCCCAACTTCCAAAGGTCTCTTTCACAAGGCTATATTACAAAGCGGCACTTTACATAATCCTTGGGCCTATTCTAATGATGTCGCTCTTCAATTCGCTCAAAGTATAAGCAAGGAGATCAACAACGAAAAAGAGGCATTAGAGCTTTTACGAAGTTTACCTGTAGAAGTTTTACATGATTATCAGGAAAAGTATTGTAATGTATGTATATTTTTATTGCCGTATAATCTCAAAAACATTAATTTTCAGATATAGTAAGATACAGTAAAACGCTCTTCAAAGAATAAAATCACGATATCTAGAGCTGATTTTATGGCGATTTAGCCTAAATTACCTTAATAAAAAATGCTTCCTAAGGGAGCTAGAGCTCTAATCAAATTTCGTAAATAAGATTTTTTTAATGTAGTTATAAGCGGCTCGTTTGGGTGCGGTATTGAATATTTTTATTTAATTTAAAAAATATCATAATTTTCACACAAAAATGGTGTACTTATCTGAAGTCTTCATGACCAACCGTTTTCGAGAAAAAACGACTTTAACTTTTCATGTCTTTACATACGTTTTCATTGATTAACAAATAAATTTCAAAATTATGATAAGGTGACCATGGAAAATAAACAAAATACCTTCACATTGTATAAATACATTGTAATGATTCTATTTTGTTGTTCATTACATTACAATTTACCAAACTCATTTTATTGAGACTTACCTCGACTAGCCTTTAATGTCCTTCTAAAAGTCTTATGTTATTAGAGCAGGTCGTCTTTACCCCAGGGTAGGTTCAAACCAATATAAGTCAACAATAAAAACTTTAGAGATAGTTATTTAAATTATTTTATTTTAATTTAGTTTAATTTAGTTTAATTTAGTTTAATTTAGTTTAATTTAGTTTAATTTAGTTTAATTTAGTTTAATTTAGTTTAATTTAGTTTAATTTAGTTTAATTTAGTTTAATTTAGTTTAATTTAGTTTAATTTAGTTTAATTTAGTTTAATTTAGTTTAATTTAGTTTAATTTAGTTTAATTTAGTTTAATTTAGTTTAATTTAGTTTAATTTAGTTTAATTTAGTTTAATTTAGTTTAATTTAGTTTAATTTAGTTTAATTTAGTTTAATTTAGTTTAATTTAGTTTAATTTAGTTTAATTTAGTTTAATTTAGTTTAATTTAGTTTAATTTAGTTTAATTTAGTTTAATTTAGTTTAATTTAGTTTAATTTAGTTTAATTTAGTTTAATTTAGTTTAATTTAGTTTAATTTAGTTTAATTTAGTTTAATTTAGTTTAATTTAGTTTAATTTAGTTTAATTTAGTTTAATTTAGTTTAATTTAGTTTAATTTAGTTTAATTTAGTTTAATTTAGTTTAATTTAGTTTAATTTAGTTTAATTTAGTTTAATTTAGTTTAATTTAGTTTAATTTAGTTTAATTTAGTTTAATTTATTTTAATTTAGTTTAATTTAGTTTAATTTAGTTTAATTTAGTTTAATTTAGTTTAATTTAGTTTAATTTAGTTTAATTTAGTTTAATTTAGTTTAATTTAGTTTAATTTATTTTAATTTAGTTTAATTTAGTTTAATTTAGTTTAATTTAGTTTAATTTAGTTTAATTTAGTTTAATTTAGTTTAATTTAGTTTAATTTAGTTTAATTTAGTTTAATTTAGTTTAATTTAGTTTAATTTAGTTTAATTTAGTTTAATTTAGTTTAATTTAGTTTAATTTAGTTTAATTTAGTTTAATTTAGTTTAATTTAGTTTAATTTAGTTTAATTTAGTTTAATTTAGTTTAATTTAGTTTAATTTAGTTTAATTTAGTTTAATTTAGTTTAATTTAGTTTAATTTAGTTTAATTTAGTTTAATTTAGTTTAATTTAGTTTAATTTAGTTTAATTTAGTTTAATTTAGTTTAATTTAGTTTAATTTAGTTTAATTTAGTTTAATTTAGTTTAATTTAGTTTAATTTAGTTTAATTTAGTTTAATTTAGTTTAATTTAGTTTAATTTAGTTTAATTTAGTTTAATTTAGTTTAATTAAGTTTAATTTAGTTTAATTAAGTTTAATTTAGTTTAATTTAGTTTAATTTAGTTTAACTTAGTTTAATTTAGTTTAATTTAGTTTAATTTAGTTTAATTTAGTTTAATTTAGTTTAATTTAGTTTAATTTAGTTTAATTTAGTTTAATTTAGTTTAATTTAGTTTAATTTAGTTTAATTTAGGTTAATTTAGTTTAATTTAGTTTAATTTAGTTTAATTTAGTTTAATTTAGTTTAATTTAGTTTAATTTAGTTTAATTTAGTTTAATTTAGTTTAATTTAGTTTAATTTAGTTTAATTTAGTTTAATTTAGTTTAATTTAGTTTAATTTAGTTTAATTTAGTTTAATTTAGTTTAATTTAGTTTAATTTAGTTTAATTTAGTTTAATTTAGTTTAATTTAGTTTAATTTAGTTTAATTTAGTTTAATTTAGTTTAATTTAGTTTAAGTTAGTTTAATTTAGTTTAATTTAGTTTAATTTAGTTTAATTTAGTTTAATTTAGTTTAATTTAGTTTAATTTAGTTTAATTTAGTTTAATTTAGTTTAATTTAGTTTAATTTAGTTTAATTTAGTTTAATTTAGTTTAATTTAGTTTAATTTAGTTTAATTTAGTTTAATTTAGTTTAATTTAGTTTAATTTAGTTTAATTTAGTTTAATTTAGTTTAATTTAGTTTAATTTAGTTTAATTTAGTTTAATTTAGTTTAATTTAGTTTAATTTAGTTTAATTTAGTTTAATTTAGTTTAATTTAGTTTAATTTAGTTTAATTTAGTTTAATTTAGTTTAATTTAGTTTAATTTAGTTTAATTTAGTTTAATTTAGTTTAATTTAGTTTAATTTAGTTTAATTTAGTTTAATTTAGTTTAATTTAGTTTAATTTAGTTTAATTTAGTTTAATTTAGTTTAATTTAGTTTAATTTAGTTTAATTTAGTTTAATTTAGTTTAATTTAGTTTAATTTAGTTTAATTTAGTTTAATTTAGTTTAATTTAGTTTAATTTAGTTTAATTTAGTTTAATTTGTAAATTATGCCAAAAATTCCAACCTACCATTTCAAAATTTTATGACCACCCTGTATATTTAAGTAAGCAAACTGTTGTGTATGTTTTTGAAAGAATATGACTGGACTATTAATTTATTAACGCGTTCAAAGAGTGCGAGTTGTCACACATGACATAGAGCATGGAACCAAACCCACAACCTATGTATGTTTTTGTTTTATCGTTGTTGTTGAATTAGTTGTCTTTTTATGAATGAAAGAAAAGGTTCTGTCAAAAAAAGGAGAATAAAGTTTCATATAATTTTATTGCATTATTTATACACAAATACAAAAGTGGTGTCAGAAGTGGGATCGAGAGTATATAGTGTTCCTGCACCAACTTAGTGATCACCAACGATGCCAGCCACTCCGACAGTTACTCCTGAACTACTTCAGACTTTCTCCAGCATGATAGCTAACGCAATCCAAGCCTCCACGACTAATGTTACCACAGAAGCCGCTGTCACAGCAGCATTGTCGCGCCCGCCTCCGTTCGCCATGGGATCGTATCGTTCCACCGATGGAACCATGATCAGCGACTACTTCATGCGCTTCTCCTGGGCACTTGAGCTGAGCAAAATTCCAGAAGACAAACACGCAAGTTACGCACGTGTCTATATGGGGCCCGAGCTTAATGACGCACTGAAGTTTTTGGTGAGTCCTGTTGATCCAGAAACACTTACTTACAATGAAATAAGATCGAAACTGATACGCCACTTCGATTCAACTCGAAATAAATTCGCCGAAAGTATAAAGTTTCGACAGATCAGACAAAATAAAGGGGAAACTATTGCCAACTTCTCGTTGAGGTTAAGGCAGGCCGCCGTGTATTGCGAATATGATACATTTCTCGACCGGATGTTGATAGAACAACTACTATTGGGTCTGGAATCTCGAGAAATTTGTGACGAAATAATTTCGAAGAAACCGACATCATTCACAGACGCGTACGAAATTGCACATGCGCTGGAAGTCATGCGCAATACAACAGATGAGGTAAATACCACACAAGCGAAGACCGAGCTTACAAACAAAATTGGATACGAGAAACCGCTATCGCGTAAGAACTGGAATCAACAAGGGCGAAAGAAAGTATACGGACAACAGGAAGCAGCTGACAACCAATTTCAGCACAATGACAGAACCCAGGATAACCAGTACACATGTGCAGGATGTGGTGAGACACACCCTCGTAGTCAATGTAGATTCTTGAACAGCAAATGTAACAAATGCGGAAAGAAAGGACATATCGCCAGGGTATGTAAGTCCAGAAAAACTAAAAATACGAACCAGCTCACCGAGGAAGAACTTGCTTCCGGAGAGATCAACGATGAAATCGACTTAGTACAACGGTTAAGTAAACTTGAAATCATCGGCTCAGTACCATCACCAGGACGACAGATACTGACAGTCCAGATAGAGGACAGTACAGTCAAAATGGAACTTGATACAGGCGCTCCTTGCTCAATTATAAGCAAACATAATCTTGACAAAATTGATCATGTTTTTAATTTACAGAAGACAGACCGAAACTTTGCCAGTTACACGGGCCACCGGATCAATTGTATCGGTCGTGTCTGTGTCAACGTCACCATTGGGGCAACCACGAAGGTGCTCAATCTCTATGTAGTGAATGAAGAATTCGACACGCTTCTGGGCCGAGAATGGATCGCAGAATTTGTGCACGAAATAGACTTTGAGGGCCTGTTCACCAAACCAACCCCAGTGCACCAAATATCCACCACAGAAGTTCCGAAAGCCCTCACCGTCGACCAAGAGAAACAGTTGGACCATTTACTAACCAAATATGATGATTTATTTGGAGAAACCCCTGGCAAACTGACAGGTCCTCCAGCGAAAATGAAGTTAAAACCAGGAGCTATGCCAGTCTTCTCCCGAGCGCGGGAAGTACCGCTCGCCTTACGAGATGCATACGCCAAAGAAATCGATGCTAAAATTGCCTCAGGATTTTACAATCGAGTCGACTACTCGGAATGGGCCTCAACTACCCACATTGTTGCCAAGAAAAACGGTAAATTAAGAATCACCGGCAACTACAAGCCAACACTGAACCCAAGAATCATAATTGACGAACATCCGATCCCAAAAGTGGAGCATCTCTTCAACAAGTTG